TAAAAGTTAAAACCACTGAATTAAAAATGAAAATAAATAATAGAAATTAGACTACATTTGAACTGATAAGAGGAACACACATTTAACTCATTTGAGATAGTAGGGCTGTATTAGCCAGCTTACATTTGATTTACAGTTACTGCTATGATAAAAAAATACACTTATATGTAGGATTAAAATTCTACATGTGTCATATTTAATGTCCAACAACATATATTTTAGCAGAATGTATATTTTATTCAGAATTATTGCGCTATTATTCTATTCTGCTCCATCTGTGTAGCACACATGTGCGCAGCAGCTCTCGTTCACTTACGTAAACCTCACCCACTCCTGACAGCAAAATGGATATATTTGCATGACTTTCTAACATTTACAGATGAAAAATATACCTGTGATGTGTCAATCATGCACGGAGGAAAACACAATGTCTCAAATGCGTTAATCAGCACAAATATGCGCCGTTTGCCATGGTGGATCAATTTGATGCTGCTTAAGAATAAGCGTGCACATCAAATTATCCTGACTCATTGAACCTGGATTGAATTAGTGAGATTGCGTGAATTTAAATGGTCGTTTATGAAACCGCTTTAGTCCCGATTGATTTGTTAGGTTATTTCAAGTCAGGTTTTGGACTTGAATCCCCGCTTTTCATAGCGTCTTTTATGAAACAGCCCCTAGATGTCACTGTGTGTTTGTTTGAGCACATGGCTTGTTGTGTGTTTGTGTGCCATGTGCTCTCCTGTCTATTGTCTTACACCGCCCTTCTTATCTCATTATTGTTTTAAACCCAAATTCAGTTATTCTCATAGCGCCACCTTCTGGCAGCAGGAAGTGACATGCTTAACACTGTTATGGAATCCTAGGAACATATTAAAAATCCGTCAGCAACTGTTTCATAGGCTGGCAACTTGCTAGAAACATACTAAAACATGCTAGCAACACTTAGCTAAGTGCTAAAGCATGCTATTAATGCAGTGAAACAAGAAGTTTCTGTAACTCAGACATGCAGTGTCCAATCTGCCCCAAATTTAACAAGTTTGATAAGAGTCCTGTCCTGAACACATCTACATGCCCGTTTTCGGTTATAGTCATAGCGCCACCTGCTGGCAACAGGAAGTGACATGCTAAGCACTGTTATGGACTCCTAGGAACTCTAAAGGGTACCATCAAAATAACCATACTGATATTACAATAAAAATAATTCAAAGCAAATGTGTACACATTCATCTGATCTGATATCAAATTTTTATGGCTGTTTGAGAAAAAAACATTATTATTTTTATATTTATAACCCAGACAGCACACATACGTTGGGCCGATGTCGACCCGACGTACAAAACTCCATCGGCACGATGTCGCTCGGGGATCGTTTGCTAATAGGGAAGATGTCGCCGCGACGTCGGCCTCTGATCGCAAATGCTCTCCGGCCGATGTTTGGACGATGCAGCTGTAAATACCGGCCGCTCTGCGTGGACGCGGTTCACCGGCGTTTTGCTCATCGTTACGGACCAGCCGCGGCA